AAAATAGCGGCTAGAGGAAAGAGCTACGAGAACTGGCAAGCCAGATGGGATGCCTCGTCCAAAGGAAGATGGACACACAGCTTGATCAGGTTGTTTTCTACTCACAGTGATTGGACGCGTTTTTCCGAGCTCCGAAAGTGAACCGTCTAGGAGCCAGTGTAAAGCCGCTGAAAAGCAGTATTAGTGCAGTGTGAGACACTTCGGGACGAGGGTACGTACCAGAACCGGCCCGGGGAGGATATCCGAATCTTGGGAATCTTGGTACTCGCGATCGCCATAGATCCCCAGGGCAAGGGGGGGGGGACCGCTCTCTCGTCCAGTGAGCACCTCTATCTCACTCTCACGAATTGGAACAGTTTCCACAAGCCACTCTTTTTTACATTTTCCCTCGCGTTTTCAGCAGCACAACAAGATCAGCTGATCACAGTGTTGCGTAACGCACGCATAGGGAGCTTTCGCACTTGAGGTAGTGTTGGAAAACGAGAGTAGCCCGCGCAAATTTAAAAATTTTAACTAGAGGCTAAACCAAGTGTTGGCCTTTAATTTAATCCTAAATTTGTGCGTACAGCTGGAAGGCCCACCCATACGGCCCCAGTTAATATTCCGCAGCTGGCTCCAGTGGGGCAAAGGGCAGAAGGCCAAGGAACTAGCCGCTATCCAACCCCTCCGCTGAGGCGGCGCCAGTCAAAAGGGACTCTGGGGACCGAGAAGGAGCGGTATAACTCCCATCAGGCATCCACTGGGGGAAATTCCTGTGCACCGAGGGACCCCACTACGGAGCAGGTGCGATGACCAAACGAAACCGCCTGCAGGCCGGGACGACGAGACCCAGGCATTAGCAGTAGCTAGAGCAGAGGAGGAACTGCTGCGAAACTTCCAGCGCAACAAGCAGAAGATGCAACACTCGCCTCCCGCGAGCATGCCAGGGAAGCAACCGGTATCGGCACCCCCAAATGTGTAGGGACCTGTGTTTGTTTTCGGCGAGACTAAGGAGGAAACAGCCACACCAAAGAGAAGCTGGGATGCTGTGAGCCCCGAAGCGAACCAGACGGGAGCGCACAAGAAGCAGAGAGTGGACACTAGCGCACCAGCACTAGCCGAAAAGCTGGGGAAGATGCTAGATGAGATGATCTCCAAGTTCACGGACACCAAGACAAACAACAAAAAGGTGGTCCGCCACGTCACCCAGGGGACAATCGACTTCATGCTGGCGATGAAAAAGCTGCAGGTCGAAATCAGTGCAGCGCTGGCCGAGGGCCACATCAAGGGCTCTACCTCGAGCGCAAGCCAGCAGACCACTCCACGCTAACAACCATGATCCCCAAAGCGGCCTGTACCACCGGGCCAGGAAATTCGGCATGGCAACAGGTGCTTCAAATGCATGGGCTATGGGCATACCTCGACGAGATGCAGGGCCTCAGACTCAGTAGCCAAGGCCACACAAAACTCCTGCTTCAGGTGCGGGGAAGAAGGCCACAAGCACTACACGTGCAAAGCCAAGCCCAGGTGTATCCTATGCACCAGAGGAGGCAAACCCGCGGGTGAAACTGCGCACGCTACGCTGAGCAGGATCTGCCCTGAGTACCTGAAGGCCACCCATAACACGCAGAATGGTTAAGTTTTTACAGCTTAACTTAAACCACTGCAGAGCTGCCCAAGATCTGCTGTCACAGACGGTTTTCGAGGAGAAAATTGACATTGCTGTACTGAGTGAACCGTATAAGTCAAAGGCAGAGGGAGTATGGCAACAGAGTGCGGATGGTGGTGCAGCCATATGGAGCTGCGGGCAGTCCCCCGGACACCTGTCGCAGAGGGCGTCGAGACCTGGCTATGCAAGGACTAAGGTCCAAGCAACCACCATCTACAGCTGCTACCTAGCCCCGAGCTAGCATATAGATGCCTTTAGAGACATCTTGCAGGAGATCGCCCGAGATGCCCGCGGAAGATCCCCAGAACTAATCGCTGGGGACTTCAATGTGTGGTTCACCGCCTGGGGGAGCTCGAAAACGACTCAGCGGGGAACCATCCTTCTGGACGCCCTGGCCACATTAGACGTTTGTCTCCTGAACGATGGAGCTAGATGCACCTATAGCAAGGCAGGCAGAGAGTCAATCATTGACCTGACTTTCGCCAGCCCGAAGCTCTGCCGGACCAGCCACTGGAAGGTCACGGATTTGCTCACATACAGCGACCACGCAGCCATTATCACCCAGACGACGCACAGCCAGCAGGGCCCGTCTCTCCGGCAATCTGCGTACAAGGTACACACCCTTAACGCTGGTGTTTCCAAGAGCTGTGCGATGCAGCAGACCAGGAACCCTTCGGTTGGGCCTACAAGCTGGTCATAGGCAAGCTCTACAGACCGCCGACTCCAACCTCCCAGGAACAACTTGGAGCTATAATCTCCACGCTGTTCCCGTCGCAACCGCCCCTCGTGCTGCCAAACATGGCTGCGAGTGAAGCGATCTTCACCAACTGCGCGTTGGCCAGCAGCAAGGCAGCAAAAGCCCCGGGTCCCGATGGCATTCCCAACGCTGCATTGCATGCCATAATGAAGGCCTACCCAAGCTTATTTGCACGGGTATACAACAGGTGCATTGCTGAGCGCACATTCCCAAGAGCATGGAAGCAGCAGAGGCTAGTGCTCATCCCTAAACCTGGCAAGATGAACGACGAACCATCCTCATATCGCCCCCTTTGCATGCTCAACACTCTGGGGAAGATATTCGAGCGCATCATCTGCAGCAGGTTGGAGAGAGAAATCGAAGAGCGTGGCGCCCTATCGAATCAACAGCACGGTTTCAGAAAGAAGCGGAGCACGATTGACGCGATACGCGAGGTTACGCTAATGGCCGCGAACGCGATTGAAGGCGAAAGATGGCAGGGAGGCACCAAGCAATACTGCCTGGTCTGCACCCTGGATGTCAAAAACGCTTTTAACTCAACAAACTGGAGCCTAGTCCTGCAGGCACTCCACCGCGGCGGCATATCAGGGAACCTCACCCTCCTGATAGCGGACTACTTCAAGGATCGCGTCCTTCTATACACATCTGATGACGGCAACAAGACACACCACGTGACAGGAGGTGTACCCCAGGGCTCTGTTCTTGGGCCAATACTGTGGAATGTCATGTATGACGGCATCCTGAGACTTCCGCTACCTGATGGCTGCGCCGTAGTAGGGTTCGCCGACGATATAGCGCTGGTCACGGTGGAGAAGCACCTGTCCGATGTCTCCGTTAAATGCAGCCTCGCGATCGACATGATGATGTCATGGCTGAAAGACAACGGTCTCTCGCTCACCGAACATAAAACGGAAGCAGTGCTCATAAGCAGCAGAAAGACCGTTGAGAAGGTCAACTTCCGGGTAGGCTCGACAAACGTCGAGTCCCAGCCCTGCGATTAAGTACCTTGGGGTCATGATCGACCATAGGTTGAACTTCAAGAGCCACCTGGAGTACGCAGCGGCCAAGGCATCCAAGGCCACAGCTGCTATCTCGAGGATGATGGCCAACACTCGTGGCTCCAAGCAGCATAGCAGACATCTAATAGCTACAGTGGTGACCTCGACCATCCTGTATGCCGCGCCGATTTGGGCGGAAGCCATGAGGACTGCCAGCTACAGCCGGCAGTGTAAGTCTGTCTATAGACGTTGTGCATTGCGCATCTCGAGCTGCTTCTGCACGGTGTCAGAAGAAGCTGCATTGGTGGTGTCGGGAGCAATCCCAATAGACCTACTGGCGGATGAGCGCAGGACTGGTAACTCGGGTAGCAGAAACCAGAGAAGCAGCACCATGGCTCGGTGGCAGGACAGATGGAACAACGCGAGCACAGGACGATGGACCTACAGGCTCATTCCCGATCTGGCTCCCTGGTTGCAGAGAAGACATGGTCAGTTGGACTTCTATACCACGCAGTTCATCACAGGACATGGCTGCTTCAAGGCTTACCTGCACAGGTTTAAGCATGAGGATGACCCATACTGCGACTATTGTGGCAGCGATTTCACTGAGGACGCGGAGCATGCCTTTTCGTATGCCCCCTATTCTCGGCGGAGCGAGCGGCGCTGGAAGCAGCCATGAACCGCCGCCTAACACCCGACAACTTAGTCGGTTGCATGTTGGAGACCCCCTCCAAATGGAATGCGGCTGCCGAAATGGCAGCAACCGTGATGCGAGAGCTGAGGCGCCGGGAGCAGACCCGTCGCACTGAAGGCGACCGATGAGCGGCAACAGGACCGCCAACCGCCCCCGTGAAGTATAGCTTCGCGGCAGTCCCGCGGGTGCGGACTCTTCCACTCTATCCATCCACTTTAATATATGTACTTAACCCTATATTCTTTTCATAAAAAAAAAAAAACACAGCTTGATCAACATTGAGGCCTGGAATGAACGGAAGTACGGGCAGGTGGATTTCTACCTGACCCAGGTGCTAAGCGGGCATGGCTGCTTCCGTAGCTACCTCAAGAGGTTCGGCCATGAAAACGAGGATGGCTGTCCGGAGTGCGGATCTGGCGTACTGGAAGGGGCGCGACACGTCGTCTTCGAGTGCCGCCGATTCGCCGAGGCGGCAGTAGGAGCGGAGATCGGTGTGGTGCCGCTAATGTTGGAGTGCCCATGGACATGGGAAGCGACGGCGGAATTCGCGGCGAAAGTGATGAAATCACTTGGGCTGCTGAAGAGGGGCAGGAACGAGCGGATGAGCTAAGCGGCCTGCCACTGTGCGAAGCAATGCTTTGCGGCCGTACCGCACAGTGAGGCCAAGGTCCCGCCCGCGACAGAGGAGGAGTTAACATCTATCGTAACTATAGTATATTTGTTATTTTTAGTTGTACATAATAAATTGAATACAAAAAAAAAACACACACACACACCTACAGACTGTGTGCCATCAGGATCGCGTGCTCGTTCCGGACGATCTCCGAAGACGAGGCACTGGTCGTCGCAGGGCAAGTCCCACTGGCGGAGCTCATCAGGGAGAGGAAGGAGATTTTCGTAGCCATGCAGGACAGGAAGGCATTGCCGTCTAGACCAGAGCTTAAGGCTGCCGCCAGAAGGAGGAGCATGGAAAACTGTCAGTCTCAATGGGAATCCTCTTCTAAAGGCCGATGAACGCACCGACTCATCCCAGACATAGCGCGATGGCAAGAGAGGACGCATGGGCAGGTCAACTTCTACCTGAGCCAGGTGCTAAGCGGCCACGGATGCTTTCGCCAGTATCTAAAGCGCTTCGGACACGAGACGGAGGATTGGTGCCCGGAGTGCGGATCTGACATTGTGGAAGACGCGGAACACGTGCTCTTTGAGTGCCGGAGGTTTGGCTTTCAGAGGCAGGAGCTAGAGGAGGTAGCAGGATCTTCGATCAGCGCCGAATCCTTGGTACCGAGGATGCTCGAAGACCAGAGAGTGTGGGAAGCGGCAAACTCATTTCGAGAGAACAATTTTTGTAATTCAAAGTGCGGGGAAACATTTTGCGATTCCAAGGGACAGACAATCGAGTGACCAGAACCCGAGACCAACAGGCTTTTGACCCAAAGTGCCAAGTGAGACTTTCCGCAGACCACCAGCGAGAATATCACGTGCACAGAGAAATTGAAACATTAACCTGACCTAACCTGTTAACCCCCTGAACACTGAGAGAAAAACGACTGAAATAAAAATGAAAACCAAAACGATGCAAATGAGTTAAATAAAAGAAATATTTTCTGAAAACTTATGAACACCCGCCATGATTCTTTTAATTTCTTTTGATTTCTCTGCCGAGACACTGGGAGAAATTGGTGATCCGAACTTTATGAAAAACGTTGCTAGTTAGGAAAAGCATTCGACCATCATCGAGTGCAGACGTGCTTACGGACGACCGCTACGCGGGGTTTATTCTTGAAGTGTTTTTTCATGGTGAAAAAGTAAATTCGGAACTCTAAACTACGTACTGTCAGCTAGGCCAAGCCCTACAGTGCGTATGACATACGGACATTAGTGCGTGAGACGTGTTTTTAAGCTGCAAAGTTCATTTATATGGTGCCACGCGAAACGAGCTCAAAATAATGAGCGGCGATAAAAAGAATGAGGGTAGAACCTCTGTAAACCAAAGAAACGGTTGCTTCACCTATTTCTCAACTCGTGATATCGAAGCAGAAAAAACGTCTACCAAGCCCAACCCGGCTCTACTGACCGCCGACGGCACGAGAGCGCGCTCTTGCTCACCCGCCCTACTCATGCCAGCTCCTACATCTTGGAGCTCCCAATGCCAAACCCCACCACCACCGGCTTCGATGGAAGACGCACCAACAACAAGCAGAGTTGCAATTTCTGCAAACGCAGCAAAAGCAACAGCAACCAACCAACGACCAATATTGCGAAATCGGTGCCAACGGACGCAGCGCCAAATTCAATGGTAACAAAAACCGTGAACTCCGATAAGCAACAAGCGATTCCGGCCATACAGACTGGCATGGATCGCTACATCCAAATTAAGCGTAAGCTTAGCCCACATAACACGGTTGGTAACAAGCCTAAGATCAACCGTGTCACCAAAAGCTACGACCCAAACAACACCAACAAATTTTCTCCGCTAGCAGCTGATGAGAATAACCAAGCAGAGCCGAAGAGCAGGAGACCCAAAAACAGCCAAAGCCCCCACCCATTTATAATAGGGAGAAAAGCTCAAACGCCCTGGTCAACAAAATTGTTGCGCTGGTCGGGGACGGAAACTTTCATGTTGTTCCGCTTATTAAAAGAAACATTTGCGAAACAAAAATTCAAACCAAAACAGAAGAACACTTTCGGGCTGTGTCAAAATACCTGGAAGATTCCAAAAAAATTTTTACACATACCAACTGAAAAGCATCAATGGACTGCAAGTCGTGTTAAAAGGAATTGAACCAGACGTCGCCCCCTCTGAGATAGTGGAAGCCCTGAAAGGCAAGGGTTTCCTTGCCAAGAACGTCAGCAACATTATAAAAAAAAACAAAAAGCCGCAACCACTATTCAAAGTCGAACTGGAGCCAGAAAGTAAAACCCTGAAGAAGAATGAAGTTCACCCGATCTACAAGTTGCAGTTCCTATTGCATCGAAGAATCACCGTGGAAGAACCACACAAACGCAACGGTCCTGTGCAATGCACAAATTGCCAGGAGTGTGGACATACAAGGACATACTGCACCCTTCGGTCAGTCTGCGTAGTCTGTGGAGACTTCCACAATTCCGCACACTGCCCTGCGAACAAAGAAGACCCAAAAAAGGAAAAATGCGGAAACTGTGGAGGAAATCACACAGCTAACTACAGAGGCTGCGTGGTCTACAAGGAGCTGAAGAGTCGCATGCGACGAGCAACTGCTACACGCCAACAAAATACACAAAATGTGTATTATAATTCAAAAACTACTCCAGATGTATTCTTTGCCAAAGCAACCAGATCCTCTTTTGGTCCGCTAAATGCCCCCACGGGCAACTCCTACGCTGAAGCTCTACGAACAGGTATGCAAAATCCTCCCCCCTCAAACTCGGTAAACCCTCACCAGGCCCCAGGGCAGTCACAAAACAACCTGGAATCCATGATGGTGACCATGCAACAAAGTATGATGGAACTCATGTCATTTATGAAAACGACCATGCAAACGCTCGTCCAGAATCAGAATATGGTGATACAGCTGCTCGTAGCACAACAGTCAAAATAATCAATGTCTAATCTACGTATATCCACGTGGAATGCCAACGGCGTCTCACGGCATAAACTTGAACTAACACAATTCCTAAATGAAAACCACATCGACGCCATGCTACTGGTTGAAACGCACCTCACAAGCAGATACAACTTCCATATAAGAGGTTATACCTTCCACCGCATAGATCAGCCAGATGGTAAAGCCCACGGCGGGACCGGCATCCTTATCAGAGAACGCATCAAACACCATTTCCACCAAAGGTTTGCTACAAATTACTTGCAAGCTACGTCCATTAAAGTGCAGTCAGGAAACGGCAACCTTTGCATTGCTGCTGTCTACTGCCCACCTCGCTTTACAATCTCTGAAGGCCAATTCATGGACTTTTACAACTCTCTTGGAGATCGTTTCATAGCTGCAGGTGATTACAACGCCAAGCACACGCATTGGGGATCGCGCCTCGTGACTCCCAAGGGAAGACAACTGTATAACGCTCTCCTCCCGCTCCCCTGGTAGCCCAACCTATTGGCCAGCAGACCCCAGAAAGATACCTGATCTAATTGACTTTGCGGTGACAAAAAACATCCCACGCAATATAATAAACGCCAAGGCCCTTCCGGACCTTTCTTCAGATCACTCGCCGCTGTTGATAACCCTCCTTCAAAGCCCAGAAACTACGGATCGCCCTCACAGGCTGACGTCGCACAGAACCAATTGGATGAAATACAAAAAGTATGTGAGTTCCCACATTGAGCTAGCCCCCCAGCTCAATACTGAAGCAGACATCGGCTCCTCCACCTCCGCTCTGGAAGAGGTACTTTTGACTGCAGCCAGGATCTCAACACCACAACAGAAGGATGTGCAAAAAAGAGGCGTCTGCGACGGGCGTGGCAAAACAATAGATCGCCATGCTCAAAGCAACGTCTAAATGAAGCCACACGCAAACTAAGCCGGGCCCTGAAGCAAGATACCGAAAATGCACAATTAAGATATATTGAGAAACTCTCGCCAACCAGCACAAAGCATCCCTTATGGAGAGCTCACCCAATCTTAAGCTCTCCGACTGAAACCATTACCCCGATTAGAAAATCATCTGGTTATTGGGCCCGCAGCGACAAAGACAGAGCCGAAACTTTTGGCTCACATCTCCAGGGCGTTTTCCAGCCGAATCCTGCTGCACATTCATTTGAATTACCATTTGAACTACCGCAAAACCAAACTGAAACGGAATCTACTCCAGCATCATTTCGTCCGAACGAGATCACGAAGGTCATCAGGGAACTGAAGCCGAAAAAGGCTCCCGGCGATGACCTAATAACTCAAAAAATGATAATTGAACTTCCGAATTGTGCTATTGAGGTCATCTGTAAAATCTTCAATGGGATCATAAGTCTCGGCCATTACCCAACTAAATGGAAAAAATCTATAATTATAATGATACCGAAGCCCGGAAAAGACCACACGATTCCATCATCTTACCGACCAATAAGTCTACTATCATGCTTGTCCAAGTTATTTGAAAAATGCCTACTAAAGCGCATAATTCCTTATCTGGGAGCTCACAACATCATCCCAGCTCATCAATTTGGCTTCAGAGAAAAGCATGGAACTATAGAGCAAGTTAACAGAATAACATCAGAAATTCGCACAGCCTTCGAACATCGAGAATATTGTAGCGCGATATTTCTCGATGTTTCTCAAGCATTCGACCGCGTCTGGCTCAACGGCCTCATGCACAAAATAAAAACACTTTTGCCGGTATACACACACAAATTACTTGAGTCGTATCCCTACAACAAACAACAACAAACATGCCCCCCGCTCTACCTGAACAGCACACTGATCCCCGAAGTCAACGTGGTAACGTACCTGGGAGCCCACCTGGACAATCGCCTAACATGGCGAAGACATATTGAATGCAAGAAACTTCATCTAAAACTAAAAGCCAGCAGCCTCCACTGGCTCATAAACTCCCGATCGCCCCTGTGTCTGGACTACAAGGTCCTGCTCTACAACTCCACACTGAAGCCAATATGGACGTATGGCTCCCAGCTCTGGGGGAACGCGTGCAGTACCAATCTAGACATCATACAGCGCGCCCAATCAAAAATCCTGAGAATTATCGCTGGGGCACCATGGTATATTCGCAACAAACACATCCACAGGGATCTCGGCATTCCTGATACACGCGTTTGTTTACTCACAGTGATTGGACGTGTTTTTCCGAGCTCCAAAAGAAAAGTAGTGTAGACGGTTCGGAGGGCACTAAGAAAGGAGTTTTTACTGAGTGTTGAGACAACTGGGAGAGGTACGTACCAAAATCGGCCCCGGCTGGCTATCCGGGCTCCCTGAATCTTGGCACTTGGAACCGCCACAGGAACTCGAGGGCAAGGGGGGGGGGACTCTCTCCTGTCCAACAAGTGGATTATTTCCCGCAAACTCTCTCACGGCTTGGAATAGTTTCCACACGCCAATTTTTCCCTCGCGTTTTTCCTTCACGGCGCAACACACGATCAGCTGATCGTAGTGTTGTGTAGCGAGCTTTCGCGTAGTGTTGGAAAACGCGTAGTATTGGAAAACGCGAGTAGACAAGTTCCCGCCACAGCCAAAATTTTAATTTAAATCTAAACGGCTTAGGAATTGTCACTCACATCCGCAGTTGGCTCTAGTGGGGCTAAGAGCACAAGGCCAAGGAACTCGCCATTTTCCAACCCCTCCGCTGCGGCGGCGCCAATTAAAAAGGGGCTCTGGGGACCGAGAAGGAGCGGTATAACTCCCATCAGGCATCCGCAAGGGGAAATTCCCGCGCACCGAGGGACCCCACCAAGAGCAGATGCG